GCATGAATAGTTTTTTTTTTTTTCATTAACCAGGAGACTATTATTTTTACACCATGTGTTAAACTCATCAGCAGTTTGGTTTGCATCAGCCACTGTGTGTTGAAATCGATTGTTGGCTACTACCTGAGTGGTGTCATCAGCATATATAATTATTTGTTGTTGATTTTTGCATGAGTGTTCTGTCTGCCATGAAGATAATGAAGGTCAGAGGAGCAAGAGTGGAGCCTTGTGGTACCCCCATACATACTGATTTGGGTTGCGATTTTACATCTTTCAAAGCTACAATTTGAGATCTATTTGTAATATAGGATTTTAACCAATCAAGAGCGACTCCCCTGATTCCGATTCGACACAGTTTTTCTATCAGTAGATCGTAGTCAATTGTGTCGAATGCTTGAGTCAGGTCAAAGAATAAAGCTATTGGATAGTTCCCTTTATTTAGTTTGTCATATACAGGGTGTCATTGAAATAGTGTAAAAAAATTCGGGAGGTGATAGAATTCCTAAAACTATAAAAAAAAGTTCCTATAACTATGGGTCGTTAAATGCATATTAAGGGATTTAGGGGAGTCAAAAGGACAAACTTGGAAAGTGTTTTTTTTGAAATTGTACGCCTAAAAAACACGATAAAACTTCGAAAAAATTTGATGGGTTGCTCACAGGTTAATCAACATAAATTTAAGAAAATTATGGCGTGGTTATTTCAATTTAGAATTACCAAATCGCCCTGTTAAACAAGAGAAGCGCCGAAATTATTTTAAATAATAAGAAATTAAAGTGAAAAATATTTTATTACTATTATGGAAAGTACCGTATTTTTTTATCATATCAGTCTGATTCTTTTATTTAAAGTAAATGTTCAGTGTGGCCACCATTCATTTCAATACCCTTCTGTCCTAATTTGATTATTCCATTTACAAAAAGTATTCATTAACAGTGGCGTGCCCACAAATTTCTTCTGGGGTTTGGGTTGCCACTTACCTTCCGATTGTAAAGTTGAGAGAGAAAAATTGACCCACAGACAAAAAATAATTTTTCATAATAAAATTTCTTCGACATTACTTGAAAATATTTTTTTTTCTTTAGTGTTTATGAGTTTTTTGGGAGGTTGATTAGTTTAACACGTCACAATTTTCATAAATTTATGTTTATTAATCTGTGAGATACCCATCAAAAAATAAGTAATTTTACTTTTCGTTTTTCAACTACAGGTTTACCAAACTCTTTGCCTTCAATTTTCTCGAAAACGGTTGCTTTAAGCGACTTGCAATAAGAGTAACTTTTTTATGGAAAAAAGGTAGTTGTTTTTAAAAAATAGACCAACGTTGTAAAAAAATCAATCCCTAAAAAGTTAATCATAAATCGACCCCTTACCCTTGCAAGAACTACCCTTTCTGATTAAATAAGTAATTTTTCGATATTACCATTGGGTTCAGTAGTAAATTTTATGTCAACAGGGATTTTTTTCGAAGTTTTATCGTGTTTTTTAAGCTTACAATTTCAAAAAAACCACTTTCCAAGTTTGCCCTTTTGACGCCCCTAAATCCCTTAATATGTATTTAATGACCCATAGTTATAAGAATTTTTTTTACTAGTTTTAGGAGTACTATCACCTCCCGAATTTTTTTACACTATTTCAATGACACCCTGTATATATTATTACACAATTCATGAACAGCTGTCATTGTGGATCTTTTCTATCTAAACCCATGTTGACATTCAGGTAGTAGGCATACGCTCGTATGCACTGTACACGTTTAATCCAGATCATGGGTTTAATCGCGCTTAGTACCATATTTAGCTATGGTACTAAACGCGATTAAACCCTTGATCTGGATTAAACGTGTATGGTGCATACGGGCGTAAGTCTATGATTTTGGCAAATTGTGATTGCAGACTTATATTACGATAGTTATTTATGTAACATTTGAACCCTTTATTTTTGTAGACGGGTACGGATTTTGACATTTTTAGACGGATACACTCCCTTGTAGAAAGATTTATTAATAATGTATGATAAAGGATCACAGATAAGATCACTTACCACTCCTACAGTTTTTCCATGTATATCATCTATTCCTGGGGCACTTTTTTTTGATACAGAAATTATAATCTCATGAACTTCTTTTGGTATGGTTGGATATAAAAATAGTGAACATTCTGAGAAAGGTGCAAGTTGTATTTTGTTATAGTTTGGATTTGGTTTTTCAATACTCGCAAAGAAGTCATTAAAGTAGTTTACTAACACATTGTTGTCTTTGGTATTTTCATTGTTGATATTTAATTCTATGGTTGATCTATTCTCTGTTTTTGTGTTTTATTGTATGATTTTCCAGGCCTCCCTATTTATATTGGTTGAGTTCAGAATTTTGTAATTCAATTCAATATATTTAGTTTCTATTACTTCATTTCCAGTAGAGCGGGCAATACTGCATAGTTCACATACCATATGATGTAATTCGTTGACTTGTTTCGTTACCCAGGGAGATTTTGTTTTATGATTTTTTCTTATTTTTTGTGTGTAAAATTTTTTTGATAATGGTATTGAAATGTTGTGAAAAATGTTTCAAAGCACTCATTAGTACTTTTGGCACTATAGACATCCCTCCAGTTCTCATTTAATAGAGTATTAAAATCACGTGTATAGAAAATTTCTGGTTTCTCATTAACTGAGACGTGGAGCGGAAATGTACATATTTGAAATATATGATCTGATAAGTGTGTATCCTCCACTCTTGTGACAGTTATATTTGAAAAATGGCGTCAATACTTCGGTTAAAGCGAGTAGGCTTGTCAATTTGGTTTATCATATTGAATTCAGCAAAAATATGTTTTATTTTTCTCAATTTGAAAATAAAGTAACCGATTATTTAATTAACGAAAACATGTGTCAAATGTTTTTAAATTAAATAAATATAATTAGAGTTATAATTAATTAATTAATAATTAATTAGAATTATTTATTTTATTTATAACTACCGCCTCATTCTCTTATGCCATTTTGGTACTTATGGAACACTAGCGCCCTCTTAAAATACTCTGTTTAACACAGTACGCTTGTTATACATGGAGTGCGTGCTCCTTGTGTAGTCTCCATGATTTGTATGACTGACAGGAGTTATCACCGAGAATGTTATAAATGTTTTACTACTTTGCCAAAAAAAGTATTATTCTGTGCTAAAATAATATACAGGATGTTGAATTTGAAAAAATAGAGTAAACTGAAATTAAAAATTAGCCATATTTAAGACATATTTCAAAACATTCTGTATAAAATAAAGCAGTTCTATCACGAGCACGTCGCAATCTATTATATAGTGTGTCACAAACATTTTTATACACGTGAGAAAAAGTTTTGTTTAAAAAAAAAACAATTATTCCTAATAAAATGTATTTATGTTGAAACCATTGCACTTCTTTTTAAGTAATTACGATTTAATTTATTCAATAAAAAATAATATTTTTTATTAAAATACTAATTCAAATAACCGTAAAATATCAAAAATTGATCTTAGATCAGTTGTCGTATTTACTAAATCCAATACATCTAAATTTATTTCCTTTACACAGGGTGGCCACTTTTTATGAAATGTATTTCTCTCTCATAACCCGTTGGTAACAATGGAGAAAAGTTGTATATTTCGAATCCCAATCTAAAAACGTTTTAAAAACCAAAATACCAGGGCCGGTTTCGTAGATATTCAATCAAAGTAAATTAATTGCATTTCTTTATTTCACTGCAGTATTTTCTAAAATAGGCAAAAACTTTTACAAGGTTTTTTGTTTTAAATCAAGTTGCTCATATGATGACGCATTTACTTTTTTCATCCGACGTTTTGTAAATGGACTTTTTTATTTGAATATAGACGAGTGTTATTCCGATAGATTATTTTAATGCATGTCCAATGCTAAATACAATGATGTAACAATATATTGTGATTACTCAGCATTTCGGAATATTTGTACATCATCAGGTAAGTACGGTCCTGTATTTTTTAGTTAAACATTTTTGTATTATCAGTTTTATAAATTACGAATATTAAATACCAACGGCAAAATTATCATCTGCGGTTGTTATTTTCATAATACATGATTAAAAATATAAAACTGTAAAATAATTGTTTTCTTCATTAGTAATATAATTAACTAAAGAGAAATAAGTGTACGTTTAACTTTTAAAATTTAGTTGCTTATTTTAAATAATTCATAATACAGGTCCGTACTAGTAAGTAAACTTATCTGATGATGTTCCAATCTTCCGAAATGTTGCCTAATCACAATATAATGATACATTATTGTATTTAGCATTGAAAATGCGTTAAAATGATGTGTCGAAATAATACTAGTTTATATGTAACTAAAGAAGTTGATGGTGGTGTCGTATTTACGAAACGTCGCATAAAAAATTGAATGCAAATAATGACATAAAATAAATATCCTTAATTGAGTTTTCGTCTATTTTTGAAAATAAAAGTACTGTAATAAAATAAATTGAACTAATTTGATTTCTATCGAATATCTCTGAAACTGTCTCTGATATTTTGGTTTTCAAAACGTCCTCAGATTGGGCTTCAATGTATACAACTTTTTCATACGCTAGTTCGGTGTGATGTCATTTTGGTTCCATTGACATTTAATTCTAACCAAACTTTTGACAAAAACATTAATAAATTTTATATATACGTTTTTACTGTTTTTAGTTTATTTCTAAATATTGTTTACAGGTCATAAAAAATAGTTTAAAGATATGTAATTGGTAACCAAACGATTGTATATTTGATGCATGTTATCTACTTACTTTAGGAATATATTTATAAAAGTGAAAAAACGATATAATTTAGGTAAATAAAACGAACAAAACGCACTCAAAAAATTTACTGTCACTTTGTCAGTGGAACCATAATTACATCATCACTGAACTAGCTTATTGCATCTGCAATTAAATGATCTAAATACTAACTCTACATCTTCAAAAATTAATTAAGATTTTTTTTGTTTTAGGTCGAGATCCTGTAGTCATTGAAAGGAGTAATTTAGTTAACATAAGTAAGCTGGTGGTAAAAGAGTTAATAGAACAATCCTTGAGATATGGAAGAATGCTCGATTCGGATCATATGCCTCTCCAGCATTTTTTCATAGTATTGGAACATGTACTGCGACATGGACTCAGGCCTAAGAAGGTAATGTTTTATTTTTATCGAAATATTATTATTATTATTATTATTATTTTAGGGTTTATTAGGTCCTAAGAAAGAATTATGGGATATTTTACAAATGGTTGAAAAGTATTGTCCAGAAGCACAAGATATTACAGCTAGTGTTAGAGATTTACCTACTGTTAGGTAAGTTATTGAAGATAGTAATTTTTTTGTTTCATAGTTTAGTCCCTATTAAGAAGTAGCGCCACTTTATTATCCATTCTGTTTTTATTTCTCTCCGCATTTAGGTATAAGATGAAATTTTTCATCATGAGTAAAGTTCTCGCATTTTTCTAGTTTTTCCATCTTAAATTAAAGTATAACTGTTATTAAAATTGCATCTGGGTATATAACATAAAGTATACTTCATACAATATAAAAACCTTAGACTAGGTAATAAAGAGAGGACTTATAACGCAGCTGAAAATCTTGTTCCATTCTGACATCAACGATATTCGACCAAAGGCGTAACATGTTGGAAATAACAAAACGAACTTGTATTTATGTTATTTGTACTTTATTGATCTTTTTAGGTATAAAGCAAGTTCAAAACGTAAAATTTTAAATTAATAAACTGAATGAAATCGTTTACATAAAATCAGTGTTTTTTTTTTTAATTCCGCAAAATAAAACATAATGATCTACATGTATTATTAAAAGATTTATTTTTAGTTAATAAAGAATGACACTAGCCAGATAGCACAGACACGTTTTAAAGACGTTTGTTCACGACGTTTGTGACGTTTTGAAGATGTACGCTAATATCCAAAAGATGTTTCAAAGGCGTCTATAGGACATACACTGTTACAAAACAAGGCGTATTTAGGACGTCCAGTTTTGTACGTGTTTAAGACAAACCGTATTGAAATTCGTTTAAAAATTAATGAATACTTGTCTACTAAATTTATTACTGTTTATTAAACATTATTAAACATTAAAATTGGCATATAGAGTAAATACTATTATACAGTGTTGGATAAAAGGATTAGAAAATGACTTCAAGTACTTGTTCCTATGACAAACTATTCCCGGAAATCCTACATTTTCCAGTTTGGTCGATTTAAAAACTTCTTTTATGGTATTATTTTTAGCCATATCGTCTGTATCTAATGTCCTCGTAGCATATAATTTTGTTAAATTATTGTTTTAAGGGTTTTTCTAAAAAATAAGACATTAATAAAGTGAGGTTATAAAATTAAAGGCCAAATAAATTAAAACTTACCGTTTTTAATGATAAAGTTTAATAGTTCCGGTGTACCTCAGTTCCAATAATGGCAAATAAATCATATAAAAAGACAATATATAAAAACACACAACCACGAAAAAGTAATGATAATGTCCACAGACTGATGCTAAAAATGTTATAGAATGCCTGTCCCGAGAAGAAGGTAGCCAGAGGAAGAACACGACTCGATACGCGCGCGCGAGACTGTCCAATGAGTCAATGACGAATGACGATCATACATGCGCTGCAGGTAGCGCCAAGAACGGTGTCGTGGCGCCATATTCAAATATAGCGAAAAGAGTTGAACGTCCATATTACCGACATATTTAAAACGTCCTAAAATCAACAAAGACTTTTAAACATTTCCTGAGCAGGGCGTCTTAAAACTGTCCGTTTTACGTACCAGAACGTTTGGACGAAAGTAAGGCATGAACTGGACGTCTTTAAGATGTACAGTCTATTCGCTATACTTACGCGGATATCGGATTAACAAACTTATGCAAATTAGTCATTGACAACCAGTTCCAATAAGCCTCTTCCCAAAAAAATAGGTAAAATTGCCCTAATGGTCAGATTTAAATTAAAATAACATTAGAGTAGGTACTAAATTTGTTACAAATATTGCAGTTAAATTGATTCTTTGCAAGTGTTGACATTGTATGTATATTGTAAATTTAGTGGAAATTTTAAAAATGCCTAGACATGTGTTATATGTAGATAGTCTAATTTGTAGTGTACATAAGTATTTTACGGATGAAAAAGAAAATGGCGGACCTTTAAAATCGGTAATGTCTGTACAACAACGCGTATGCGATGCTCTAGGAATTAGTGAAACAAAATGAAGAGGAGTATTACAAAATCACAATAGTGAACTGCCGAAAGAAGATCACCGCAAAACTCGTCCATCATTGGAAACGAAAGATATTCCAGATGGAAAGAAATTTGAAATTCGTGATACCATTTATCGAATGAGGGCCAACAAGGAACATGTGACCTTAAATACAATTCTGTCGGAATTAATAGAAAATTTGACGACATTGGCAGAACAAGTCTATGGCAAGTGATACATAACTTGGGTTTCAAAATGAGGATAACAGAAAGGCCCTTTGTGAAAGAAGTTCTGTCGTGCACAAGAGAATTAACTTTCTAGAAAATATTCTAAATTTAAAGAAGAAGGGGCGAATTTTATATATTTAGACGAAACATGGATATTTTCTAGGGGTGGAACCAAGAGAATATGGCAAGATGATAACGTAAAGTCCATCAAACATACCGATGGAGAAGGGAAGCGACACATAATTTTACATGCAGGAGGGAAATTGGGTTTTATAGAAGGTGCTATATTTTCATCTAAATCAAAATCCAGTGACTATCACGATAATATGAACACAGAAATGTTTGTAAAATGGTTGCATGAAAAACTTCTCCCAGGTTTAAGTGAGCCCAGCGTAATTATTTTAGACAATGCACCTTACCATTCTGAAAAGTCCAACGAATTCTTGGACTGTTGATAAAATTAAAGAATGGTTGACAAAGGAACATAGAACAAAGAACCATTTCCTCAATATATATTAAATTTAGAATTATTACGCTTGGCAAATATACAAGCAAAACCAAAAACCTTTGTTTTGGATCAGATTATTGAAAGTTACGGTCATCAAGTTTTTCGTCTGCCACCGTATCATTGCCAGTTTAATCCCATCGAATATATATGGGGAATAGCAAAACAATATTATGACAACCATATTGAGCCTAATGGTTATAATGACGACGCGAAAAGTACTTTCAATTGCAACTCCAGAAGTGTGGCGAAACTGTATATCCAAGTGCGAGAAACTAATAGAAGATTGGTGGACTCGTGAAAATGAAATAAACGAAATAAGTCCAATCATAATAACAATTAATGGTGATGACAGTGATGATGATGACGATTATGATATTTTGGATGATAATAACTGATTTTTATTTTTGTTGGCAATTTCAATTTTTTTATTTTTCATTTGAAATTCTTTACATGGAACACATTTTTATGTTAGAAAATATTTTATTTGAGCTAAATAACCCTCTTATTATACATAGACCATATTTTCTGTGTGAAGTGTAATAAGAAATTATTATTAGGTTTATAATAGCCACATTAGACTCCATTAATGAAGAAGTTTAATTCTGCTCTCAATTATACAAAAGATTCTCCTTTATTATTTAATTAAAAAGTTGTACATCATTGTTCATTTCATTTAACCAGTTAATATTTCCCCAAAGAACAGGTCAAACTTTCGGGTACTTACCTGGAAATACTCATAAAATTTTTAATGCTATCTAGGTATTATTAAATTAAGCTAATACAAAAAATTATACATGAATGAAGATACATTTATTACTGACCCTTAAATATTATACTAATTTGGTATAATAAGAAGAAGTTTTAGCGAAACAACTATTTTTTATATCTTTAGTTTTTCTTTAAGAACTTTGATTTATCTTGTTTTTTCTTTATTCTTTTCTACCTGTTGTAAAAGTTGTCTTATAAGCCGTTTTATGCTAGCGCTTTCTAGGATAGATTCCTTATTTGCGGTTCTATTTGAAAAGCCTGGATCAGCTTACAAATGGAATGCTCTTCTTTTTAAATCCTACAAACAATTATTACGGTAATGTTTTGAATTATACACAAAATGGTTGCTAAATCTTAAAAGTGCATAACATAATAATGAAAAGTAATTAAAAAAATATATAAGTTTAATTATGTTTATTAGTATACTCACCTTCTTTGGCTGCATGTAGTTAGAGAATTCAGGAAATATAGTGGAGACTGCTTCATATAGTAAACGTCCATAAAAAATGTATTTCAAAATGTTTTTTAACACAATCTGTCATTTGGCGTAGGTATCCAATTTGCAATTTCCGTTGTCTGAATCAAAAGATTTTTTGCTGGATCCACAGGAAATCTAAAATAAAACAACAAATAAACATTGCTGCAATTAAATAAGAAGTAAAAGTAAATTAGGATTTAATAAAAATTAATATTTAGAATTGTACGACACACCACTGGAAAAAATTACATGTTTGGCCATTTTAATATCATTAATTGCTTAAATATCAATGAAAATCATAAAATAAACAAACTTGGTGGGTGCAATTTATTACTCTGGAGTAAGACATGTGCAATATGTAAATACCAAGTTGTATAACACCAAATAAAATGAAAAATATAAGAAAATATATAAAGTGAAAACTATTGTTTATCATTTACCTGTGAAACGTAATATCTGCTTATTTCTTGCCGCTATAACTTTTACACTGATATGCCACACAATAAACCATTGTAATAAGCTAATTATTAAATGTCGTTTAATTCAAAAATCAGAAATAAACACGAACAAAACCTTTGGTGTCACCGAAATGCTAAGCACCAAAATAATGGCGGCCAATAGATAATCGACACAGAATACTACGTGTGCTCGAAATACTTGTTACGCGTCCTCTCTTTATTACCTAGTCTAAGGTTTTTATATCGTATGAAGTATATTAAAATTGCATCTGGGTATATAACATAAATTAGAAACCAATGGCTTATTTTTTCGTTCTGTAGTTTGTACATAGAATAGATAATATACATGTGGATATACAAAAAACTTTTTTCTCAAGTAAACACTGTTAAAAATGCCCAAACGTTGAGCAACTTACTAATTTGTTTCTAAACAGCGGAAATTCTATACTCTGTTCGTTCTACTGTATACTAAATACTCGTATGAAGATTGATATTTTAAGTTATAAATTCAGTTAAGGAACATTATTAAATTCAAATATTTTTTTATGGAGTTATTTCTTTCATCCTGTTCATTAAAACTAGATAGAGTATCTTGGGATTATTACATTTTTTTTTCTACAAGCGTGCGAGAAGATGATCTTCTCGCACTTTCGAGTGCGAAAAGTTTATCTTCTCGCACGCAGAGAAATATAAATTGAAAAAAAAGCAAGGTATACTTACCGCCGAGGCCCGGGTTTGAACCTAATGAGCCCGAAATCCTAACCACTACACCAATTCGGCACATATAACATCGGTTTAATATATGTGTATACTTAAACTGTATGTTGTACCTAATGTCATTATACAGGTTAATTCTCTATTTTAGAAATAAATGCGCTTGTAGAAAAAATGTTGATCGTAACACGTGCTAGAAGCACTTTTAGCACTTGTTGCGATAACTACTATACCATTATTGGACACTTTTTTTATATGCAATTTTTTTAAGGACGCATATGGGTAGAGCAAGAGCTTGGTTACGAATAGCTTTAATGCAAAAGAAATTAGCAGATTATCTCAAAGTGTTAATTGATCACAAAGATGAAGCTTTAGTGGAGTATTTTGAACCTGACGCTTTGATGTTGAGCGACGAAGCTATTATAATAATTGGTCTCCTTGTTGGTTTGAATGTCATTGACTGCAATCTCTGTGTTAAGGTAGGTTCCAATACAAGACCAATACCAATAAGCTAACTTAATGGAAACCTTTTATTATGTGTCTTTATAAGGGTTAATTTTTTAATCACAGTTTAAACTTTCGTTTACCTGAACTTGGATCAAATATAGAACTGAGATGACCATCAATAGCGTTTTTCAATCATGTTAGTATCACAGTTCAGTTGATCTACGTTCAATTTATATTGGTAGTTCTGAATCGAAGAATTTCTGACAAAATTGAATGCTCTATGTCAATTTGACGTTTTTAAACATATTCATTAACAGTGAATGTGAAAAATTGTATGAAATGGAAAAAAATTGACGGACCGCCAATTTTTCGAGCAATTGTTGGTAAATTTTAATTTCTGTACTTATGTACTCTACTTGGTGATATCGATGCAACAAATCATATATTTAACAGAACCATGACTTTAGGGTTTAAATCATTATTTCTAGAAAATAAAATACATGTTATTATTAATGTTAGTATCTATAAGTCCTTCTATTTTGTTAATTATTCTGTTAGCCGTTTTCTTAGACAAACGAAATTTTGGGTACATTGTACATTAATATGCATTAAATATGTAGCAATTTCACCATCGTCTTCATTTATTACTTCGAACACAAAATGTAAAAAAAAAATGTGAAATATACTTATATTATGTCAGTGTCAAAGATCTTAGTTTAAACGCCCAACTTTGACAGTTCAATTTTTTGGATAGTTTAAATTAAGTTCAGATGTGAACTACATTTGAAATACGCCATCTTTCAATTAAACTCGGTTCATTTGCCAAACTCAGTTTAAGCTTTCATTGAAAAAATGGCCCTTAATATTTCATTTAATTTTTTACTCACTTTCAGGAGGAAGATTTAGACTGTCCTCAAGGAGTAATCGATTTCTCTTTATATTTGAGGTCTTCGAACCATGTGTCTATCGATTCTTCAAATGAAGAGACAGGAGATGCCATGATTACCGTTTTAGATCAAAAAAATTATATTGAAGAACTTAATAGGCATTTAAAGTAAGTATCTGCAAATTAATATTGCTCAACTAATTTTATTGTACCGGGTGGACCAATAAGACTGGCTGGCTTTCAGGCACATCTCATGAATTTAACAATTATTTTTGACTCGATAGAAATTGCTTTGTCCTATTTGTCCTATTCATAATGATTTAAATTGTTGAAGTGGAACTTCTTATGGTTCGCTCTGACATGAAACATTAAAATACTTATTTCGACTTATTTCGATTTCCCGACAAATAAAAATAAATAAATTAAATAATAAAAATGAGAAAAAATTAATAAAATTTAAAAAATTAATTAATAAAAATTAATAAAAATAAATAAATAAAAAAAATGAATAACAAATTAAAGTAAAAGTAAACACACGCAATTAGAACGTGACGCTAGGACAAGGTTGCATTATTTTTTTTTTTAAATAAGCCATCGATTTTATTAAAATATATATTTTTCTATTTTTTAATAATTCATCAAATAACATTTTCATTTTTAAGGATTTCCCACTCGACCATTCACCGTTGGGTTCTAATTAACAGTGCTATTCCTAAAGTGGTGCTGGGAAACATTAACAAAGCCCACACAGAACAAAAGGCTGATGGTCTTAGTAGTCGATGCCATAACATCAAATTAAAAAAATATATATATTGAAACTGTGCAAAAAATGAATAAAAATAAATACAAATTAATAAAAATGAATTAAAATTAATAAAAATTAAATTAATAAAAATTAAATTAATAAAAATTAAATTAATGAAAATAAAAATCAATGAAAATAATAAAATAAATAAATAAAAATCAATAAAAATCAATAAAAATCAATAAAAATCAATAAAAATCAATAAAAATAAAAAAAAATCAATAAAAATTAATTAAAATCAATAAAAATAAATAACAAAGAATAAAAATAAATACAAATAAATAAAAATAGGTAAAAATGAATAAAAATAAATAAATAAAGAATTAAAAAAAAAAAAATAAAAAAAATAAAAAAAATAAAAAAATGAAAACAAAATGAGTAAAAATGAATAAAAATGGAAAAAAATGAGTAAAAATAATTTAAAATAATTAAAAATTAATAAAAGTAAACCAAAGTCAATAAAAATCAATGAAAAAAATATTAAAAATGAGTAAAAATGAATAAAAATAAATAATAAATAAAAATGAATAAAAATAAATAGAAATCATTAAAAATTGAATAAAAATAAAGAATAAAAATGAGTAAATGTGTGTAAAATGAGTAAAATAAGTAAAAATGAATAAAAACGAATAAAACGAAATAAAAATCAATGAAAAACATAAAATATGAGTAAAAATAAATGAAAATGATTAAAAATTAATAAAAACGAATAACAATTAATAAAATGAAATAAAAGAACATAAAAATCAATGAAAATCAATAAAAATCAATAAAAAATCAATAAAAATCAATAAAAACCAATAAAAATTAATAAAGAAAAAATAATAAAAATGCGTAAAAATTAGTAAAAATAAATAAAAATAAATAAAAATCAATAAAAACCAATAACCAATAAAAATTAATAAAGAAAAAACAATGAAAAAAATAATAAAAATGCGTAAAAATGAGTAAAAATCAATAAAAACCAATAACCAATAAAAATTAATAAAGAAAAATAATAAAAATGCGTAAAAATGAGTAAAAATTAATAAAAATTAATAAAAATTAATAAAAATTAATAAAAATTAATAAAAATTAATAAAAATTAATAAAAATTAATAAAAATTAATAAAAATTAATAAAAATTAATAAAAATTAATAAAAATTAATAAAAATTAATAAAAATTAATAAAAATTAATAAAAATTAATAAAAATTAATAAAAATTAATAAAAATTAATAAAAATTAATAAAAATTAATAAAAATTAATAAAAATTAATAAAAATTAATAAAAATTTATAAAAATTTATAAAAATTTATAAAAATTTATAAAAATTTATAAAAATTTATAAAAATTTTATAAAAATTTATAAAAATTTATAAAAATTTATAAAAATTCATAAAAATAAATAAAAAATGAATAACAAGTTAAAGAAAAGTAAACACACGCAATTAGAACGTGACACAAGGACAGGTCGCATTAAGTCTTATAAAAATAAGCCATCGATTTTATTAAAATTTTTATTTTTTAATAATTCATCAAATTACATTTTCATTATGGAATTTTTTTATTATTAGTTTTACGAAAAAAGTTAGAAAAATATCCTAAAACACAAATGTTTCTAGACATACAAGTTTATACACTTTTAACCTGGGCAAAAAGTTGGCCTATATGTACATATGGTTAATGCTATTAAGAAAGCCAAAGTCATTTCCTGGAAAAAATCTAATTTATATTAATTTTTTATAATTTTTATTATTTTTTTTTAATTTTTTATAATTTTACTTACTTTTTATTAATTTTAATTTTTATTAATTTTGAATAATTTTTATAAATTTTTATAAATTTTTAATAATTTTTATTACTTTTTTATATTGTTTTACTTTCTATTACTTTCTGTTAATTTTTATTACTTTTTATTAATTTATATTAATTTTTTATAATTTTTTATAATTTTTATTACTTTCTATTTATTTATTTTATTAATTTAATTTTTAATAATTTTATTATTTTTTTTTTAATTTCTATTAATTTTTATTTATTTTTTTTTTAATTTTTATTAATTTTTTTTTAATTATTTTTATTTATTTTTATTTATTTTTACGATACTCATTTCCCCTCTCCTTAAAATGTGACACTTTGAAATATGTCATTATTTACTTTGATAAGTAGCTACAATTCCAGTTTTCAAGTGCCTACTTTTAAAAAAATCGATATCCCCATACAAACTTTTACTCCCTGTTCTCCTATTTCCCCCTTTCGACCCCTTAAAATATGAAAATCCAAAAAATATTTATTTGTGATGAGTAGCTATAATTCCAATTTTCAAATTTTTACCTTTAAAAAAAGTTGATACTTCCATACAAACTTTCATTCCCCGTTTCCCCTCCTTAAAATGTGAAAATTCAAAAACCCTGAAACACGTCATTATTTATTTATGTCCAGTACTGTATTTCAAATTTTCATGTTTCACTATGCAAAAATAATATCTGATCCCGTGCTCTGTGAAAACAAAATAAATTATCCCAGGAGAACCGTACATTTTTCCGGTATGAAAAGTAGCCTATGTGCTATTCCAGACTATAATCTTTGTGCCAAATTTTATCTTGGGGCTAACACATAGAAAATTCCATTTTTCTTTTTGGTAAAATCTCGATTTTCCTTAGAAGATTACGCCTTTATTTCAACCCTTTAGCCACTAGCAACATTAAAGCCTTTGGTTTTCCGAAGACTAGTTCTATTAATTAATCATATAGTGAAAACGACTTGCGTGGAAATATGGGCAACAAATAACCTTAGATTTTTGTTGGGAAAAATCGAATTTTCCATGTGTTATCCCCAGGAGCCACTCGTAAATTTATTTTCATTCTACTTAAAATCGATGTACTTTTCAAAATGGGGCACCTAAACTTTTCACTATCTGACGGTCTATTAGTAGGATTTATAAATGATAAAGTATTAATTTAAGCTATTTTATAACTTATAATAATTATTATTATTTTAGTGCTACTGTTGCAAATCTTCAAGCCAAAGTCGAATCATTAACCACCACAAATGCCCTAATGAAAGAAGATTTAGCAATAGCGAAAAATAACTTATTGGCATTGTACGATGAAAATCGGCAATTAAGATACGAGTTCGGCAAAGATCCTGATAGTTATGCAGCGGGAATTAGCGGAGCTCAAATAACGAAAGTAGAAGAAAAAGATTCAAAGGAACCAACGACCAAAGTTGTTTCCAGTGAAGTACACGAGTTAAAACAGAGATTAGAAGAAGAAAGAAAATTGAGAAAAGAGGCTGATAATGAACTAGAAATACAAGTAAGAAATTTTATATAATTATTAAATCAAACATTTATAATGTTATGATAATGTCCAATTTTAAAATAATTAATTTTTTCAGAGTACAATAAATTTAAGTCTTTCTTTAGTTAAATAAATACTTTATTTACATCCTCGTATTAAGTTTAATGTAGAACTTTTTACTGCTTATACATAAACAAATATGTTACGATTTGATACACTACAGAAAATCCACAATTACTAATAGCCTAATCCCTTTCGATTCCTGCCATCTTATTTCACATAAAAAAGCACCCTTCAATAGTTTTTTACATAGAGCGCTCACCATCCCTCTATCAGAAAGCAATTTTAATTAAGAAATACAATATATCGTTAAAAAGTTTGTTATTAATAATGATTTCCCTTTGGAACTCCTTTAACACCAATCTATTTCAATTTTTTCAATAAATTTAGGCTTTCTTATCCCCTATCTCTCAGAATTCTTCCTAATTGTTCCCCTATTGTTCCTAACTTTTCCTAAACTATGGTTCCTAAAGTTTATCTCGATTCTATATCGTTCTTTTCTTTTCCCTTTTCTTCAAAATGAATTTTGTTTCCCAGAAATTGTCATTGACATATATAATTATGATTGTATTGTAGATGTGTATGAAAGCTGAGATGGAAGTAGCTATGAAATTATTAGAAAAAGATATTCACGAAAAACAAGATACAATAATATCGTTGAGGCGACAATTAGACGACATTAAGTTGATTAATTTAGAAATGTATAAAAAACTTCAGGTAAGTACAAATATATTACATTTATTAATTATTTTTTACTATAATTATGTTTTACATTCATAATATAATAAAAACAGATAGTCAGACAGACACATTCCATATTTTTAATCATCAAACATTCTTACATATTTTTTTATAAAGAATTTATTATTTTTTTGTGTGTGGAAATCAGTAATCCCTTGGCCTATTAAATCAATTATTATTGCTATATAAAAAACCTTGAAACCTAAGTTCCAGGGTTCGGAGGATATATATCGTGATATATATCATGATATTTATACCTTGATATATATCCGATCAAATTCTTCTTTGATTTGATATCCGTGTTTTCTTTGATATTTGCATAGATTAGGAGTTGGACGTTATTTGTCCTTATCCACCGCGACCTTTTCAGATCTATTGTGGGACTCCGTTTGTTTTAGAGTATGTCGTCTAGCCTGGTCTTTTTTATTAGACTTAGTAGCTTTGACAGTGGCTCCCGTATGTAGTTGCATGCATTTGGCTTTTCTTCGCCCAATGTTAGAAACCTCATTCCAGCCAGGCCTTAACATTGGCACAGGACGTGGAATGATGTTTCCTTTTCTTCTTCACAGAACCTGCACAAAGTTGCTTCTTCTGCTGGATTGATGACACTCATGTGTCTTTTGAGGCGACAGTGTCCAGTAAGAGAAGGCCTACTGTTATTTTAACGGTTTGATGCTTTTGATCCAGTAGGTCTTTCGTGAACTTGGCCGATGGTTCCTTGATGAACTGTTTGGCCTGTCTCAGTCTTGGATAGTTGTTCCACCATTTGCATAAATAATATCTCCATATTTTATCAGAACACTAGAGGTTTACATTCAAAAACTAGTTAGGTTTATAATCATTTGTCTCAAAGTTTTTGCGTTAACAGAAACATGGCTTGACTCATTGATCAAAAATGTTAAATTATTTCCTGGTTACTTTAGTATATATAGATCGGACAGACATGATTCTTTAAGAGGTGGAGATGTACTAATAAGAGTTTGCGAAGAAATAACATTATGTCAAATTAATCTTTTGGATTATTCATTTCCTAGGTTTGGTCTAATTGATATTAATAGTTCATTTTAGTTCTACATATATTGTTAATATTTTTATACCCCCTAAAACTACACTAACAAATTACGAAAACTTTGAATCTTTGAATCTTCTGGAACTTTAGATTTTTTATATAATGTGTCATTCTTGGTTGAAGGTGACTTTAATATTACAGATTATGCATCCCACCTACTCAATTCTACCTTTTGTAATAGACATATCTCATTACTTAACAATTTCATGGAGTTCTTTGCACTGTCACAAAACAATTTTGTATATAATAAATATCACTAAATTTTAGACTTAGTTTTATGCAATAAGTTTATTTTGGTTGAGAGATCTCTGGATCGATTAATTGCGGAAGATAAGTATCACCCATCACTTAACATAACTTATAATGTTCTTGGTATATCAGACGTAAATAAGAGATTTCAACACTCTTATGATTTTAGGAAAGCAAATTTCCCAGAGATGTATGACATGTTATCAGAAGTTGACTGGCAATTTTTAGAAGTGTTTCAGGACCCTAATGACGCTTGCTCCTATTTTTACGGAAAATTATACAACATATTTGACTTGTGTATACCAAAATTTTCCATACCCTTTAAAACGAAATATCCACCAAGGTTTGATGATAATATCATTCGAAATATTCATAAAAATCTGATAATGATATTTTAGCTTTCGACGAATTTAAAAGATTAAGAACAATCATAAAAAGTGATATTAGTGTGGCCTATAAACAATTTATTAAAAAATCTGAAGATGAAATATCATCCAATCCCGACAAATTTTCATTTATTTCAAATAAAACACACTGGACTCGTTTGCCCAGCAGAATGTGTTACAATGAAAATTACTTTGAGAATCCCACTGAAATTATTAATAGATTTGCTGACCTTTTTTGTAAGTCTTACACTGATTCTACTGAGCCAAATTCCGAGGTTAATCTATTAAATGTATCAAATTTAAACATAAATTCCTTTACCGAAGATGTAGTTAGAAATACATTATTCCTCCCATCCTACTCAGAATTTGCAGCTTCGTATTGTCTCGCCCTTTCTTCTATATTTTCAATAAATCTATCGCCACGGGTGAATTTCCAGATTATTGGAATCTATCTTATGTCACCCCAATATACAAATCGGGTAGCAAGTCAGATGTCAAAAATTACCGACCTATATCTATTCTCAGTACTATACCTATAGTTTTTGAGAACATTATAACAGACTACCTTACCTATGACTGCTATGGCATCATAATGGATCATCAATATGGTTTTTGTGCTGGGAAATCGACTGAATTAAATCTAATTACCTACGTCGACTTCCTGTCGGAAGCTTTGGAGAAGGGTTGACAGATTGATTCTGTGTACACTGACTTTTCTAAGGCTTTTGTCAGGGTCAACCACTCTCTCTTACTTCAAAAGCTCGATAAATATGGCATAAATGGGGTCGTACTGCAATGGATTAGTAGCTATCTTACGAACAGAACTCAAATGGTTAGAGTAAACCATCACTATTCTAACTCATTTCAAGTTACATCAGGTGTTCCTCAAGGATCACACCTTGGTCCCTTATTATTCAACTTATTTATAAATTACATTCGTTGTTTTCAATATAGCAAAGAACTATTGTTTGCAGATGATTTAAAAGTTTTCTTAATTATTAAAACCATTTATGATGCCCTCTGGCTTCAGTCTGACCTTGATAATCTATCAAACTGGTGTTCCTTAAATGGCATGGATTTGAATGCTATAAAGTGCCATGTTATGCGCTTTTGTCGATCCCATGTACCAACTACTACTTTTGATTATAACTTAAATGGTCATATCTTGGAGTCTGTTAATCAAATTAAAGACCTTGGAGTTATTCTAGATCCCACTTTAAGCTTCAATCAACACATACCTAAGGCTATCCATAAATCTATGAAAATGTTAGGTTTTATCAAAAGGGTAACACATGATTTTACTGACACAACTGCAATTAAAGTCCTTTATTGTTCATTAGTCCGACCTCACCTAGATTATTGCTCTTCTGTCTGGTCTCCACATTACATAATGCACAGCAGAAACATAGAAAATGTGTAACATAAATTTCTTAGATACATAGCCTAGAAATTGGGTGTCCTTTGCGAGTATGATTTGATAGAGAATTTTCTAAACAAACCCTCTTTGGAAACTAGGAGGAAACAGAGAGACCTGACATTACTTTTCAAAATTATCAATGGCAAATGCAGCTGTACTGAACTTCTAACAAAAATAAATCTTTATGTTTCAACTCGACAGCAACAAACATTTTATGTACCTTTTTATCATATAAACCATACTTTTAGCAGCTGTATTCCAAGAATGTTAAGATTAGCCAACACTCATAACGATCTTGAGATATTTAACACCCCCTTTCATAAATTCATAAAGCAATTACATAGTACTGAGCTTTAATCTTTGATCTTTAAATGTTTAATGTAAATATTTTATTCAACCTTATTGTCTTTTAAATCTTTTAAATTCTTTACCTATTTTATGAATTATACCACGATTGTATTTCAGCACCATATATATTTTACTACATTTTAATTATAATTTTAAAATTGTAATTTATTTCTCAAATGGGCTTGCCCGTAAATAAATAAATAAAAAAAAAATCAATGAAATCTAAATTTACTATAGGGCCAGATAATATTCCATTCTTTATTTTGAAAGACTGCTCTTCAATTCTCGCCCATCCCTCAAGTTCTCTTAAATATTTGTCTTAAATTTTGTTCTATCCCATCTATCTCTGGAAATGCTTTAAGGTCTGCCCGGTATTTAAAAAGGGGTGATAAATCAGACATTGTACAATATCGTCCAATTTCAATTATTAGTAATTTCTGTAAAGTGTTTGAGATTTATCATCACGTCAGTAATATGATATCAACAGAACAATATGGATCCATGAAAGGGCGTTCCACCATTACCAATCTTATAGCTGTAACACAGTACATTGCTGAAAAAGAATCCAGACGGATGTAATATACACCGACTTTTCCAAAGCGTTCGATCGGCTTGATCATGGTATCACGTTAAATAAACTTTCATGCTGTGGTTTTTTCCCAATCACTGTTAAATTTATTTAAGTCTTTTCAGATTAACGGTTTCAAGTCGACTCAATATCTGGCAACTTCTGGTGTTCCGCAAGGTTCTAATTTAGGTCCTTTGTTATTTAACATATTTATAAATGATATGAGCAATATTTTAGATACATATATAAACTTTCTTCTATATGCCGATGATTGTTCTGTCCTGTCGAAACGGTTGAAGTCTGTGAAAGGCTTTCAGATAATCTGTGACGTGTTGAGGAGTGGTGTCTCAATAACAACCTTCCTCTTAACTACTCTACCTTGGTTTAAAGCACACATGTTGTATTAGGGTGATTTTTTTTTTTCGACTATTTCTTTTCTTTTTTTTTTTTTGACTCCCGTCTTGAAATTTTGTTGAAAATGCTCCAAAAAAAATTCACTGAAAGTTTGAACCCTTAATATTAATATTAAGTCCTCGACCAAGGCGTGCAAAGATTTTCCATTTAAAATACAAGTAAAATTAGGGTTTTTTTCTTTAGATTTCTATAGCTTAGCGGCATTTTATGGTATTATTTTGACCATAGACATGTATTTCTCCAAATTGAACGCTCAACAAAAGTGTCCATTGCGGCGATGTCGTAACTCACATCGGCGAGGTAGTACGGGTCACTAAATCGAATTTTTTCATGAAATTATTATTTTGACCCTATGTCATAATTGAGCAGAGTTACAGAAAACATGTAAATGACAAAGTTGTAGGATATTTAATTTATTACAAAAAATGTCCTAAGAACCAAATCGCTAAGATCAATATTTGTCGAGATTTGAGATGTTAAACCTTGAATTAATTTTACTGTAAAATTTTTGCCGATTATTGACTG